TTTGTGATCCTTGTGTACTCCAGCTTGGTTCCCAAATCTGTGATCCCTGCGTACTCAATTCTTAACCATGTCTCCCTATGTACTCCAGACAGCCACCTACTCCTCATCACCAGTGTGATTCCCTGTGCATTTCAGCCATTCCCTTGTTACCAGTACTTATACACTCAAAGTCTGTTTCCTTGTCTGTCCCCCTGTCTGTATTACCTAGAGAATTGTGCACTGCAAGGGACTCCTTCAGTGCCTTTGAGCTTTCGGCTATCACCAGTGTTTTTCTGTGTCCTGCCAGTAACCTTCTTTCCAACCCCTGTAAAATTCACTGAGTGCTTCACCAGCCACTTGTTGCTAACACCTCCTTGTCCACTTCCCACTTTGGTTATCCTACACACCCTGGCCTGTGACCTGCTTCCAGTGTATTCTGTGCTTTCCTGTCCGCTTGGACTGTGTTAATCGCTGAGCGGTGAGTCCAGTGCCGCAGTACTGCAAACGACTCTTTTCTGTACATCTACTCTCAGTTCCCAGTAGCTGCTTCCCCAGGTGAGTCAGAGGGCCTCAACCTGGGTGTTGTCTGCAGCCAAATCCATCTTGACTTTCAGGAGCTCTGATGAAGACATGTAGACTTGGCCCTTCTAAGGGCTCACACTTCTGCTGTTGTGGGGGCAATGCTGGATTCTCCCACCAGTGCCCACAGGTTTCCAGCCTATCCTAGACTCCTTGTAGCCATCTGTATCTCCTCCATGGCCAATACCACTGCCTAGCCTCAGGTGCTGCAGCCATATCCTGATTAGCTAGTCTTAGTGGGAGCAGCTTATGACAAATAGGAGAGTGCAAGAAGCAGCTGACCATTTCTCGACACGGACATCTCAAAATTTGCATATGAGTGACAGGCTGGGGGTGGATGCAGAGTGTGTGGCAGCTGCTGCTGGTATGAATTGTAGGTATTTAGAGGTGCTTTAATTTTTGCTCATTATGGGCCAAAATTTATTTAGGACAGGAAGGTTTTGAAGGCTGTTGCAGGTTTGTTCAAGAAACCCTAAGTACCTGCACCTCACACCTGCCTGCCCCTCCACCAGCTGAATCTCTTAAAGATTGACTGTTTGGGGTCTCTACCCTTTTAGCTCTTATTCTTGCTTAGTGGTGCATAGATTTAGCACAGCCCACCATATTGTAGTTAATAACTGCTACATCCTGCCCCTAAGGGTCACCTAGAATTTAAAAAAAAAGTCAATTTGCAGCAGGTAAGGGAGAGATGCCCAATAATTTTCACTACATAGAAAAGGTTCCCAATTTTTAGATATAACTGTATATTTTCCTTTTTATAAGAAAACCTATTTGTTGTTATTTGTAATTCAAAAGTTTGCTATGTGTAAAAATCCCTCACTATATATAAACCATACGGTGTTGTCCTCTCTAATCTTTATTTTAATTCAAAGCCATTCTGCTTGCCAAGAATACAAACTATCTCTCCTGCAGCGAGCCTGATATAGATGCCAGTAAAATAATGCAGCCTCTGCTATCTGGTGCTACCTGTGATCCCCTTTCTAAGAGTGCCTGGTAAATCACCATGTATTCAGTGTCGAAGCAGTGCTGGAATAAAACCCAGCTCTTACAGAGGACATAACTGCTGCTGGTATATTTGCAAGAAGCTTCACAAACTGAAGTCAAATTGGTTGTGTACAAATTGTGGCCATTTAAATGTAAAATACAGGTTTCATAGCACAAGTTAAAATGGTACCAAATGGTTTGTGCTTCTTGGAAATGACCCACACAAATACAAATGCTGCCAAACTGATGAATGAACATTTTAGCTACAATGGAAAGAGCTATGAAAGAAGGTTTAGTGTCAAACAGATATTTATAAAATGATGGGAACCTATAAAGGTGTTGTAACATTTTATTATTAAATTTGTTAAAGTTTTTACTTTTATAAACTGTTTTGCATCTGTCTGCATCTGCTTTTATTATTTTAATTGCTTTCCTTTTTTATCATAAATACAACATGTTTAATTTACTAATAATTATTTAATACAGGATGCGCATTCACATTAGACTTCTCTTATAGATCACACTACTGTTTACTTCTAGGCATCCAGCTGCAGTTTATTCAGTTTAAAGCCTAAGTGCAGCCAAAATAAAATAAAACTAAGCAAAAATCAGCTCAAGAGATATAAATTACAGTCAGTGTCCCCTTTACTGATGCCTCTCCCATGTCATGCTCTCCACCACCGTAATCTTCTGGTGCAGTAGGAGTAGAAGCTGTGACAGGCTCTAATCAAGAGTACCCAACTATGCCCGACCTTTCTACCCAGCTGCTCCATTCATAGAAGCTTCTATTAAGGAAACATGATCTATGTATAAAGGGGGCGGATCCTTCAATCACCCACCCATCCTCCATTAATAGATCTTGTTTCACTCAGAGAAGCTGTACTACTGAGCGCAAAGGGCATACATAGTTGGGCACTCTTGATGAAAGCCAGTTGCAGCTCCCACAGTTCTATTAACCCCTGCCACACTGGGAGATTATGACAGCAGGGGCATGGACAGAGGAGGATTTCACTGAACATTAGAGGCATCAGCACAAGGGACACATCCTATGGCCTGTAAGTTATGTCCCTCTGCTGTCAGCTGATGTCACTCAGCTATTCCAGGCTATGGATTAATCCTGACTTTAGAATCAGTATCCACTCAGATGCCTTGGCTGGCAGCTGGCTCAGCCTCTCAGCTAGCTGCTTAGAGTCTGAGCCAGCTGCATCTGCCTCCTACACAGGCCAATGCTCCAGTGAGTGTTGGGGGGGAAATCAGAGAGCAGGTAACTGACAGTCATGGCTCTCTGCTCACAGCAGAGAGGGGAACTGAGCAATCAGTGGTGTTTGATTGCTCAGTTCTCACTGCAGAGCTGGCATGGGGACAGATGCAGCATCAGACCGATGCTGCATCCACCTAGGTGTGTGTGTGTGTGTGTGTGTATGTATGTGTGTGTGTGTGTGTGTGTGTGTGTGTGTGTATATATATATATATATATATATATATATATATATATATATATATATATATATATACACACACATATATAAATTTTTAAGTTTTTTTTTTTTTTTTTACAACCTCATTCTTCTCTTTTAAAACCTGATCAGTTTACAAAATAAGACATGATGGAAGGGGCAATTTGATGTACAATCTGTTGTGCACACAGAACACTTCCATGCATTTTGCATTACCTTCAAAAATGTATGTTGAAGTTGCACACCAAATCAGGGTGTCACCATACTGTGTAGACCTTCTCAAAACAGTGCACCAACAATAGAACATAGATTGAGAGCAGGTTTATCTTTCAATGACACTCCTTCCTGTGGTAAATACACATAAAAAGTCTAAACTATGCATAATGAAGTTAAAATTTGTCATGAACACATTCTGCAACAAATAACATAAAAGAAACCCTGTCCTTAAAAAAAAACTCTAGCTACTGCTTGGATCTTTCAAAAAATGTTTTTTGCTAGACCATCTTTAGCTCCAATTCTTTCTAAGTCACTTACCTAGAACAAACATCAAGCGTTATATCAGAGTAAAGTCAGAATTTCTGTTCTACATGCTTGGCTCAGGTCAGTGACTTGGAAGGCATTGCAGCCATTCAATCAATATGACTGTCAGACTGCTATCATTTTCATAAGGATCAGTCAGTAAGGCAGCCTACATATTTCTCTTGTTATTATTGGTTTGTTCCAGTTGATGCTTGACAGACTATGACATATAGGAAATCACTTTAAAGAGAAATTAGAATCAGGCGCTTGATTACTGTAATGAAAACGAGCTTGCACAATGTTGACAGCATATTTAATAATAATTCCCCTTTAGGTCACATTACATTGCATAGAATGATTGCTATCCCTGCCTTCTAGGTGATCTATGTACATTTATGTCTTATCTGCTGGCCACGAAAACCCACATAATGGTGATTGGAATAATCCATGTCTCATTCCAATAACTCATACGCTAAGAGGATCTAAAAGTATTGGGAAAATCTTGGAAGGGACTAGACTGCTGGATTTATACTGTGCTTTGGCAAAGGCTGACCATAATATTAAAGTAATGAGCTCCAGAGAGATTATTGTTGGCCATAATGCTGTTACATCTCATAAAAAAGAAACTTGGCTTTCATTTCTTGGCTAATGCACTATGTAGGCAGCTAGAAGCACAGCATGCTGAAAAATAAGACAAATGTGAGTTGGAGGAGGGCAATCTGTACATCTAAAAGTGCCCATAGATATGAGATGATTTTGCATGATCTGGCCACTTACATTTGGAGCAGGAAGTGATTGTATGCCCAAAAGCAATATGTCCCCTCTGCTGAGATCACCTGGCCAACTGATCACTAAGCAGCTGATAGTCGTCCTGCAAGATAATGGCAGACATGTTTACTCCGTATATAAACACTCAAACTTTGCCAGAGTCATGGTTCATGTTTTGAAATAATCTTTCTTCCGAATGATGGTGTGGTACTTGGATCTTCAACTTCCCATCTTTTTCTTAGAACCTGAAGCGGCACACACACACACGCACACACACACACGCACACACACACGCACACACACACGCACACACGCACACACACACGCACACACACACACACACACACACACACACACACACATATACATGTATAATTCACTGATGTTGGACAAGAAGGCCTGGCTCAAAGTATCTGCTCTAATTCATCCCAAAGGTGTTCTATCAGGTTGAGGTCAGGACTTTGTGCAGGTCAGTCACGTTCCTCCACCCCAAACTCGCTCATCCCATGTCTTTATGGACCTTGCTTTGTGCACTGGTGCACAGTCATGTTAGAACAGGAAGGGGCCATCCCCAAACTGTTCCCACAAAGTTGAGAGCATGAAATTGTCAAAAATGTCCTTGCATGCTAATGTCTTAAGAGTTCCCTTCACTGGAACTAAGGGGCCAAGCCCAACCCCTGAAAAACAACTCCACACCATATTCCCCCCTCCACCAAACTTTACACTTGGCACAATGCAGTCAGGCAAGTACCGTTCTCCTGGCAACCGCCAATCCCACACACGCTGATCGGATTGCTAGAGGAGCCTAATTCGTCATTCCAGAGAACACGTCTCCACTGCTCCAGAGGCCAGTGCTTTACACCACTGCATCCAACGCTTTGCATTGCACTTGGTGATATAAGGCTTGGATGCAGCTGCTTGGCCATGGAAACCCATTCCATAAAGCTCTCTACACACTGTTGTTTTGCTAATCTAAAGGCCACATGAAATTTAGAGAGGTCTTTAGCTATTGACTCTGCAGACCATTGGCAACTTCTGCGCACTGTGCGCTTCAGCATGCGCTGACCCCGTTCTGTCATTTTACGTGGCCTACCACTTCGTGGCTGAGTTGTTGTTCCCAGTTGCTTCCACGTTTTTATAATACCACTAACCGTGTACCGTGGAATATTTAGTAGCAAGGAAATTTCACAGATGGAATTATTGCACAGGTGGCAACCTATCACGGTGCCACACTTGAATTCACTGAGCTCCTGTGAGTGACCCATTCTTTCACAAATGTTTGTAGAAGCAGTCTGCATGCCTAGGTGCTTTATTTTCTACATCTGCGGCCATGGAGGTGATTGTAGCACCTGAATCCAATGATTTGGAGGGGTGTCCCAATACTTTTAGCAATATAGTGTCTATGCAAACGTTTTAGGCAGGTGTGAAAAAATGCTGTAAATTATTGAGAATGCTTTCAGAAATAGAAGTGTTAATAGTTTATTTTTATCAATGAACAAAATTAAAAGAAATTGAACAGAATAGACATCCAAAGCAAATCAATATTTGGTGTGACCACCCTTTGCCTTCAAAACAGCATCAATTCTTCTAGGTACTCTTGTACACAGTTTTTGAAGGAACTCGACAGGTTGTTCCAGACAACATCTTGGAGAACTAACTACAGATCCTCTGTTGATGTAGGCTGTCTCAAATCCTTCTATCTCTTTAAGTAATCTCTGACACTCGATGAATTTCAGATCAAGGTTTTGTGGGAGCCAAATTATCACTTCCAGGACTCCTTGTTCTTCCTTACACTGAAGATAGTTCTTTGTGACATTGGCTGTATGTTTAGGGTTGTTGTTCTGCTGCAGAATACATTTTGGGCCAATCACATGCCTCCCTGATGGTATGGTATGATGGATAAGTATCTGCCTGTATTTCTGAGCATAGAGGGCACCATTGATCCTGACCAAATCTCCAAATCTATTTACAGAAATGCAGCTCAAAACATGCAAGGAACCCCCACCATGCTTCACTGTTGCCTACAGACACTCATTATTGTACCAATCTCTAGCCCTTCGGCAAACAGACTGCCTCCTGCTACATCTAAATATTCGCTGTGAGAACTCAGCGATCAGTGGTCATGTGATCGCTAAGTTCTCACACTTAGAGATGGCGTGGGACAGGTGCAGCATCGAACTGATGCATCCACCTAGGTTAGTATGATTTTAAAAAAACTATCCCCATACCTTTCTTTTAAACCAACAAATGAAATTAATTATCATTAGCGCATTCTTGGTATATTTAGTTAATCATACACCTGACTCTAGTCCTTCAAAACCCCTGACTTTGGGTAAGTTTACAAAGTGTTCAGAATCTATGCTGGTTTGAAGCCAAAGGGTATCTACACCAAATATTGATTTAATGTAGATTTTAAATCTGATCACTTTGCATTTTGTAAATTGCTAAAAATAAATGATTAAACTATATATTTTATACTTTACAGCACTTCTGCACACATACCTTTAACTTTTTCACAGTACTGTATATACAGTATACAATATATATATATATAATTTTTTTTTTCTTTAATGTAAAATTCATGCTGAGCAATGTTTTAGATGTAACATAGGCATTGGTTACCTCTTGTAGAGATCATAGCTTGCCCCTATCAAACTGGTTTTCTTTCCAGATCTTTGTTCAGACATCATATGGGGTCAGCATCTACTTTCTGGAGTGAAATGCCAGCTCAGGAGTGATATTCATATGTATTTCAGTGTCTGTAGTGTTCCTGGCTGTGTATATACACACACACATTCACTTTTACTCCGTGATCTTACATTGCATCTTGTGACTTCGCGCATTACTGACTGAGGAACAGCAGTGGGCCTTTCCCTCATTTCACCTTTCAGTCTAGGTCACTGCTCTGGAGAAATTATAGTTTTTTTGACAGAACATACTATTGCTGTGTATTGTGACATATCTGGAATGTATTCATGCAAACCTGTAAAGGTGCATGCCACCTTCTGGATTTATCTCTTTAATTTACAATTGACAGTTTACTGAGTGCATTACGGTCTTAGCTTCTGCAGCTACAAAGTCATGTGCAGCTGCACTCCCTGCCCCTCCCCTTCTCGTGTCCAAACATGGAGAGCTTTGTATTATATGAACCCATTCACAAAACACAAAGCTTTCTGTGAATGGATAGCAGAGGGAAGAGGTAGGCAGAGCAACTGCTTTGTGAGAAAACACCTGTACTACTGGTGCTAAGGAAAACTGTTAGAGAAAAGCCCATGAGGTGGCATATACTGTACCTTATTGGACTTAACCTATAGTAAGCCAGCACATTTTAGAAAATTACTGACTTTCTGGAATTCAGCTTTATTTGCAGTTTTGAACGCAAACTCTGATAAACAATAATATCCAAGCTGGTGAATTAAAATTAACCTCACAGAGATAATTTTAGTTGCCATTTTATTTTTTTCCTCTTCAATTCTTTGTTATCAAATATTAATCATTTTAAATAACTAAACAGTAGAAACCACAGTAGAAATGACTGTAAGTTACTGAGTGGAGCATCTGTAGTGGCAAAAACTGCAGTCTTATTCAATTAAACAGTGTAAAGTGCATTACTCTTAGCATCCAATATGAGCCCATCTTGTTCCGGTCTAACTGTACTAAAAAGAGTTTGTAAAGGGTTGCTACAAATTAGTAGAGTTGCAATAGCCATGTTCTATCAACAAGATCTGTTCTACAAAACAATGTGCATTGGTAAATTACCAGCCACAAGGATGAACACTGAACCCACTCCTGTTCCCACAGCTGCTCTTTTGTCTCTCTCCTTAAATGTCAGTTGTTGGGTAATGCCTACTGCACTTCCAGTGGCTGGAGGGGAGTCACTTGGTGGCATCCTCATTTTTAGACAGTGGGTGGGTTCAGTTTGTCTAGCCTCTTCTCCTCTGATTGGCTAGTGGCACTGTGATACTTTAATTATCACAAGCCCCAGGCTGTGGGCTTGTAATACTATTCAGCTTCCTGACTATGTATCTGTTCCTTGCTTTGTCTTGTATTGCTGCTGTTTCTTGACCCTTTATCTGACCCTTGCCTGGGCGGTGTTTATTCCACAGATTGCTGTCTGCCCTGACCCTTGCTTGGTTAATGGACTGTGGCTAGCCGGCTCTGCTTGGGGTCCAGTCAGAAACTAATCCTTGTTGTATTTTCCTTGATCCTTTTCACTATCTTGAGGCCATCTGATCTGGTACATAAACATTTTTCCCTGGGGTTGCTGGAAAGCATCCCAGTTCAGTAAATCTAGTATTGCACCTTACGTCCTGGAGGCATCGATGTACCAATAGGCATACTAGCCTTAAAGGAAAGGCAACTGCTATAGGTGAAACTGTGCAATAGGCTTGCTATTTTTGCAGAACAGGATGTGAACTAGTCAACCTTACAGTAGTGCTATCATCTGTTTGTAGGAAGCATAAGCGGTAAAGCACACAGAAAAATGCAATTTATATACTGTGTGTGTGTATATATATATATATATATATATATATATATATATATATATATAAGAAGCAGAAAACACAAGCTAGAGCACTGCAGATAATACATGGGTACTTCCTTGTGCCAACATGGCTAACTTCCTCTGAAGCTGATGTGTTTTGGAGTTTAACTTTGCTATCAATCTGCAATAAAATTCAAAGCAAGAATAGCTATTATGTGAGAATCTTTTTGATCTGTCCGGTACCCAATAGGTGAGAATACATTGTTTGATATTTAAATTATAGTTCCATTCCACTTACCAAAACCTCATAATGACAGTAAATTTAATGTAGATTTTGGTTGCCACAAGTCATTTCACACACTGTACTTCATTTCAACAGAGGACCCTGCCAAACTCCCATATCCCGCTTATGAAATATCTGACCACCTACTGAAGTTTTTAAAATATCAGTACAAGTACATACAGTGTTCATATTAAAACATAACACATGCTCTCTAATAAGTTTGCTGGGGATTTTTTTTTTCTTGGCTACATTTATATGTAAAAGAAGCTTAACAAATAAAAAGATAACAGCACATATGATCCCAGTAGACAAAAATGTAGTAAGAAATCAATTTCAGCTCAAAATTCTGTTATTGTGAGAAGGTTGCTGATAATCCTATGTTTCTGTTGTATGTAGAGGTTTCAGCTGTATACTGATGCATAGAAAGTATAATCAATCCACGCCAACAGCCTTCTGACACATATTGATAACTGTGGATATAGGATTAATTCTGAAGGACGGCTGTTTAACAGGCGAGAGTATTTAATGGTTCTCACCCTGAATGTTCAGTGTCATGTTTTAGATGCAGCTTCATATGGAGCATTAAGAAACTGGCCAAGCGTGTGAAGATGCCTAGTTTTCAGCAGCAAATATTTCCAAATTAGTATGGATGATTCAGCAGGTCTCAGTTTTTATGGCTCGATTACAATGGGTGTTAACATATGCAATAAAAATGTTTTTTTTTTTTCATTTTAATAAAGAGAAAATGGTTCAGTTCTTGCTCATTGTCAAAACTTTGGGAGGGTGTTTGTAAAAGTTAACTTTTTGTGACTTATAGTTGGTGAGAAGGAAATAACAAACTTTTAATATGTATATGCTTCACACTTCCAGGGTACTAATTTCTCTAAGCATGCTCTTAAAACGTTTTGTCCAAGCAACATCTCTAGTCTTATACTTCCCTTATTAGGGCTTACCACCTTGTCATGAGGACCATGGAGGCACAGACAGAATAATGGCTCCTGGAGCCCTAGTGAAAATAAAGTATTGGCTGCTAGATGTATAATATGTTTGAGGGATGTACATGTTTATACATATTTACATTTTTTTTATAATTAATACTGGACTGATTAGAACTGTGTGATGGGAGTGGGCCTGTAAGACTACTTAGGTAAGTGTTTGGGTACATGCAATGACCTGAAGTTTACAGAGAGCATACAAATTCCTTGCATTACCTACCTTCAGAGTCTTTTTTTTTTTTTTTTTTTTTTGCTACATTATAGTTATTCTCTTGCCTGCACTTGTATTGTTGGTTATTTTTACAGGTTACTGATATAGTGGAATATGTATCTGGAATTCATGATACGTATTCAGGCTAGTGATCATTGTATGGGTGCTCACAGTTTCCATATGACTGACAAAGTTCTTTACTATTGCCTAACTACAATAAAGATGTGGTCTTGCCTTCCTCCAACCTAAAATCCATTTTGTGGCACCACTGAGGAAAGGCTACTCTAGTTAGCAAAGTTTTATACCTATGCTCTTTAGGAAGATATGAAAACATGTTTTCCCCATGCATTTTAGCTGTATATTAAAGTCAAGTTAATACAAAGACTTTTTCCACCAGTTAGCACTTGTACAGTTTGAGTTGGCTTTGATCT